GGCTGCAAAGGGGAGGTGTGCATTTCTGTGTGGTAGAGAAACACCTTAAGATAAGAAAAAGAGCAATGTTAAGCGAAAATGAGGATGGTCGGTCTTTGTGTTTTACTGGAACAGATATCACATCTGCTGAGGATACAAATTGATTGGCAAAAGCCTAGCATATTTGACTCCATCAGCTGCCTGGTTTGTTACATGTCTAAGACTACTTTCCACTAGCTGTTTGGTATCTGCAAGTATGTAGATGTTCAGATGTATATTTGAAATTTTAAGACAGGTGTTTTGCCTTTTCTGATCCACTAGGTACGTTTATGCTAAAGCCTTCTAGAGCTTAGATGTATCTTTAATCAGATATGTTCTGGTTTAATCACTTTACTTTAAAACTATTGTAATTATATATTTGCAGTTCAGTTTGAGGCATTAAACTGCAGCTCATGGCCCTAGGGTGTGCTTAAAGGGGACCTTGACAGACTTTTCACATCTGTTTACAGGTCAAGAGAGCACTACAATATGCTGTATGTAAAAAGTGATTTCACTTGAGATTTGTGGTTTGAGGTTACATTAGCTGCTTTTAGCATAACACATCAAAATTTCCAAGCAAACGGTCAAGTTGCATTTCACCACGCAAGACCTGGTGAAACGCAAGGAAGAAGAATGTGTGGAATAAAGAATTACATCTCTGGTTCTGCTGCTTCAGTTTAGATACTGAGTAAGCTGCTCTTTGAAGCACAGTGGTGCTCTGAGCTAAATGCTAATGTTTACATGGCAACATGGCTGCAATAAAAACATTTTTATGTGAAGTGAGTATACAGGCTCTGAAGTGTGTTCAAAATATAAAAGCAAAAAGTAGCTTTTCAGAGGACATTACCGTCAGTTTCTGTGCAAACTTAACTGAACCTCACATCATATTAATATATTTCCAAGACTATTAAGCCATTTTTACTTCAAATAAAATAAAAGATATACCAAAAGTAATTAACATTTACTAACAAGAACACATTTCAGGTCTAATTAAGCATTAAAGCATTAGGCCGGTCATGTTCTACATTAATAGTATTTTCAACACTCCCCATACAGAGACTAAACCACCGGTGAACTGCCTCTGCTCACGGTTAATGTCCATCAGTCTCCCACCTGGATTATCTTATTCATCTGTGACACAGACTTTTGTTGTTGTTCCAAAACGATTAAAAACACATCGGTGAAACACACCACCACACTGGGCGACATGTTTCTTCATTAGGAAACACAAGACCAGTATACTTGTTAAAAAAGTTGCCCCAAAAGCTTCAAATGTAAGTAACAAGCCTGATTTGAAAATGTAAGTGGTAGAATGTACGGATATTTGTGTTAAAATGTAAGGATTAAAAGTAAAAAGTTATCAGAAAATTTCAATACCTGAAAAGTCTACTTAAGTACAGTAACAAAGTATTTGTACTTAGTTACGTACAACCTCTGATGTTAACCATCTTAGTTTAGTGTGATAGCATGCTAACAGTTGCAAATTATCACTAAACTTAATGTTCAGCTGATGCCAAATGGTAAAGTAATATCTGTACGAAATTTAATGGAAATCCTTTTGATTAGGTTTTGAGAACGTTCACAAACAACACAAATGTTACCTTTGTGTTTGCTGTCGACAAACTAAAGTCAGCAGGATTCAACATCTGGGAACTGTGAATGTTTTTATAAAAGTTTATAACAATAGAATCAGTTGGAGAGATAATTGAATCAGGACCAAAGTGGTGGACTGACAGATTGATACCACCATCCATAGAACAAAGTCTTTAAAATCATTCTTTGTTAGTACTGAAACACAGATATATTGGCCCATGTATCAACAACAGTTCAGCTTGACAGTATACGATATACAACACTAGCTGCACAATACTCATTGGTCTGCTCTATAACACACACTCATTAGTGTCTCAACACCTTTTCCCAGCGCTGTCCAGTCAGGACTGTTAACCGATGTTCCACTGCTCACGGTCTCCTATCAAACCAGTGCTGTAGCTCTACCTCAGGAGAAATCTGGAGAAGTTAAACTTTATCTCACAACATTACACGTGTTTAAGTTTTATTTTGAGGGGCAGGGTGAGAATGAAGTGGATATACAGTGCAGCTGCATTTACCTGAATAATGGCTGGATTTGGTGGTTTGACTGCCGTTCCCAGAAGACTCAGCCCAACTGGGGAGATGGACATCATTTTTCCACATAAACACAAACAAGCAGAGCAATACTGAGCCACGATGGGTTTTATAAATTAGGTGGGCTCCCTCCTTAAATGGATCTTGTTTCTATCATAATACCGCAGTCATAAAGACAGAGGGGAGTCAGTTTACTGGAAGACCACATGTCTGAAATAATCTGCCCTCAGAACAGTGTGGGCCCTCTCTGAATACTCCCATATTTGCCCACTTTACTGGCTGTGTATGCAGTTTAGGGGGTAAAAGTCCAAAAATACGTCATCTGTATGGTTGTCTGTAAATGCACAAACCACTAATTTGATCACAGTTATAGTCTGTGGCTTCCCCAAAGCAGCACAAAGTTTCCTATAAAGCATGATGTTGGCATTTTAGGTGTTGCTTGCCCCTGCATTATAAGGTATAGATAGCTTGTCTGTCATATGTGAAGTTGCCTCATGTGACCAAACCACAGGGGGCCCTTGTTTCTCTTTACTGTAATGAGAACAGCTTTGCATAATTTGAGCCTGACATGCCTGTAGCTAGAAGCGTAGCATATGGTTACCATTTATTATAGCATCTTGAAAGCTTGCATTCACAATTTCACCATTGTTGCACTTCTCATTTTGATCCCAGTCTTCAAAATGATTATCTTCTCTGTTGTTGCTCACAGGGCTCTAGAGCTTAACACCACCAAGCTCTCTCAAGGTTCCAACCAGACTTTGTATCTGCAGCTTGCTCCCCGGCCTTGCTAATCGTTACGTCTGTGTCAAGTGACTTCCCTGTCAATCATGGCCACAGTGGCAGTTTTGTTCCCAAGCTTCTGCTCACCCCCACCACCTTCCCATCAGAACCCCTCAGTCTGAGGAACAGAGGACAAAGGATGATGGATGGATGAAGGTCCCTCACAGGAAAGTACAGTATAGAAGGTGTGTGCTGCATAGAGTGACAATGAGCACATTCAGGCAGACACAATACAGTGACTCGGCCAGTGAAGCCAGCAGCCTGTGAGAGTAGCCCAGCATCAGACCAACACAATCCCCTACAGCAGTCAGCCAGTAGCCACACAGTCAGGGGTAATCGCCAAGTCCTGAACAACACTCCTATTGACTGGAACCACATAAAATAAGAGCGGTGAGGGGAAAGAATAGGGGGCATGTGGGCAGGGGAAGATAAGAGGCAAAACACAAGTGAGAGCTTTGATGAAAAAGAGCAAATAAACAGGTGCATAATATATGAGGTTTAAAAGAAAATCAGAAAAGAAATGTAATGGAACAGTTAGAGAAGGAGGAGACCATCTTTTCCCATTGACTCATCCTGTCACCTGGCTGTGTGTCCCACCAGGCCACCGCATGCTGCTGGCCTGTGAGGATCTCTCTTCCCTCTGCCTGCCTTCTGATCAGTAGCCCAGCCATCCACTTGTTCTGTGTGCCGGCTTGTTGCTGTGTAAGCGTGTGAGTCACACTTCCTGTGCTCTGCCAATGAGGCGAAGCTCTGTGGAACAGCAGGACCTACGTTCATTCTCAATTCTCTCTTTCTGTTTCTCTCCCGCTCTCTCACGTTGCACCGCTGATAGGCCTAGCCAGAATTCTGCGTAATGCGGGGGCCTACTTGAATGAATGCCTCTATGGAATTCATTTACAGATGCAGCGCAGTGGCACTCTGGCTGGAGATGGAAGGTTTATGTAAAGGAGACCTGCTCGTGTAGGCGTAGGTTTTGTCAGTTAGGAAAAAGGCTGCTCTTTTTTCCCCCCTTCATCTACCAGTAAAATAAAATAACTTTGCTAATAAGGAGATTGCGAGCAATCACCTCCTGGGCTTTGTGTTGCACAGGAAAACCCCCTGTAAGACCTGTTTGTAATATGTCGGCAGTGTGGTGAATACAGAATGAATGGCACCTGGCGTTCCTGCCCTGAATGTGTAGGCACAGGTTTTTGTTTTCACTGTCCTGGTTTGTAATGCACTTTGGTTGCACTGGCAAAAAAAACAGCAATTGATGATATTGCTGTGGTTTTAGAGGCTCTGGTGTGTTGCTTTTTTTTTTGATGCTACAGAAAAGAGTCTCTTATAGTTCATTCTTGCTGCTGCATCTTCCTCCCCCTCCTCGTTTACATTTGTGCAGTGGAAACATTTATTTGGTGTCCCTCTCTCTTCATCACTTTTTTGCCTCACCCCCAGCCTCTCTCTCTCTCTCTCTCTCTCTCTCTCTTTCTCTCTCTCTCTCGACAACACACCCACTCACCCACTCAAGCAGTCATATCCGCTCTCAGTCTCTGGCTCTCCCTGCTTGTCTCACAGTGCCTGTGAAGCGTCTCTGAGGGGGAAGACCAGACTGCTCTGTCAGGTAATCTAAACTCTGTCTGTTTTTACTCTCTCTCTCTCTCACTCTCTCTGCGCCCCCCTCCCCTCACTTTCTGTCTTCTTCTCTTATTTTGATGTACCTGTCTTCCTTTCTGTCTTCAATCATTTCCCCCTTTTCTTTCACTCATTATTACTTTATTGTCACCTACAGCAAATGAGTCATTTATCTATTGCAGCTGCCACTCCTGTTCTGTGCAACTGCGATTACAATCAGTTGTTTTGTATTGGAAAATTTCCATTTGGTACAATATACTTTAGGACTTTAGCATCCAGAGTGTTTTATTAGTGGATATGAGTTAGTCTCCTACTGTATGCGAATGTCAGAGATGCTTTTTCACTGGTTTAAGGACAATATAGCTGAAGTGTTTTAGCATGTCAAAGGTTCCACTGAATTGTATGGACATTATGGTCCACTGATTCTAAGTCACTGATTAAACTAAAGTTGGAAAAAAGTCTAGTTTACGGTGCAGAACTTTGTGTATATGACACCTTTTATATATCTTGGAATAGAGATCCTTCCTCTGTCGATCTTTCCTGAGGCTTCACCCTTTTTTTCTCCTAAAGTTTATGTATATTCTTTTGCATTTGTTCTTTATCATACTAGAGGATCTAACAATAGAGCTCTTTACCAATCAGAGGTAAAGCCTTCTAAGCCAAATTTTGAGCTCTGCATCTAAACTTAACACACTAAGTGAATACCAAACGATTTCCATTCATGAAGATCCTGGCCACAGATAAAACGACAGAAAACCTGGCAGCCCACATTTTAGTCCGCCTTGTGGTCAGCTTCTTTTTTGCAGTTGATTATGTCACCAAAGGACCAGATTTTCTCCTATGAGGGGTATTATGAAACCTCTCAGTGCAATCTTCTCCTACCGTCAAAGTTTGCGTTGGTTGAGGTGTGTGTTTGACTTAGGACAGCGTTTACCTGCAGTTCAGTGGCTTGTGTTTAATCAAAAAGAGAACCCTCAGTCATATCAAAGCCTTGTGAAATCCTTCTGTACCTCTTCTTACCTCAGGGGTACAGCGATCCTAATGCGTCCCACACAGAGCTGAGGGAGAATGACTGAGAGCTCTGGTATGTGGTGTTTTTTTCAAACGGCATCCTCCTTAGCGCACAGCTCTTACTGACATCAGTGATATTCCTGGGTGAGCGTGAGTCTTGGCCTCAGAGGTTTTTGACGCCTCTGGTTCTGTCCTCTGGGATTGTCTTTAAAAGTAATTTACCAAATCAAACATTTTCTTCCTGCGGTTCTGTGATTGATAAGTGTTACTGTCTAAGTGTTGGGCCCTGAGTTTGACAGTTACGAGAAGCACTGTGAACTAACTTTCCATGTATTTAGGTAATGCTGCAGAACCTCTTGTACAGTGTCAAATGTTGTATTGTTGCACTGAGTTGTGTCGTTCAAGCTAGTACTGTATGTATCCGTCTGCCGCTGTGACAACAACCCCTCATCACTCACAGAGGCTAGATGTCAAGGGTCATGCCAACTTGTCAATGCATGGAAGGCCAAGCATTTCCCCCCCTCACTTCCTGCTGCCACTGTGCCTCTATAGTCAGAGAGGATGCTGGGAGATAAATTTAGACCTCCAGCTCCCTCTCCATCTGCCGATGCTCAGAGTAGGCTGGTTTCCATGGGAACCTGCACCAGGCTGCTGCCAGTAAGAGAGGATGGGGAGAGACAGTTTGTGTGTGTTTGTGGAGGGGGCTATAGTATGACAGGAGATTTTTTTAAAAAGCACTTAAGAGGGTTTATCTGTTCCCAAGCCCCAAGGTAATTTAATGTTTAGCTCATATTTTTATCCATCATTACCAGCTGCATGAATACATCTGGGTATTGATGAGGAAATGAACACAAGCTTTGCTGGCAATACTCTCCTGTGCATGATAATGAAGTTTAAACTGTAACACTGCTGCACAGCTCCTACACCTCTTACTAAAAAGTAGTTGATCTAAATATGTTTATTAATGCCATTTACAGTTTTAGAAGTCTAACTGCTGAACTTACAGTAATAGAAACAGCAGAAATAATAGAAGGAGACACTGGGTGACAGTATGTGTGTGAAAGAGATGGCGTGTGAGCTCTTCTGTGTATCAAGGCTCCCTTGGGTACCTGCATCAGTGCCTGTTTCTGCTGACAAAGCTCCTTTGCATGTACGCACACACACACATATATTTCTCTTACATTCCTCACTCATTCTCCCATCTTCTCTCTGTGGACCAGACATTAATCACAGGTTAGACGCAGACACAAGAAACTAGTTCGCAGAACTAATCACTGCATACACCATCAGACTGTTTTATGAATTATCGTACATTGGTTCAAGATGTTGTGAAGATGGAAAACCTAGTGAGACCTAGCTTATTGTTTGGCAAACTGCTACTACTGTTAGCGCTGTTGTTTTGCTCTAACACCTCCAATCAAAAAAGCATAGCACTGTGTAACAGCTGCATCAGTGGCTTCCTGCTCGCATCTCTGCCTAAAAATAGAGCAGAGTAAAAAATGCCGCTGCCTCCATCAGTAAGGTTAGACAAAATTACAAGGCCTGTGGGTTTTACCTGAAGTCTTATCATTATAATATAATTCTCACCCATAAGCAACTGATTTCTGAAGGTCTGTTGGATATATAATAAGCCCATTGTATGTACCAGACATCATTAATGACCACTCATCCATGTGGAATGAGGATGATGACAAAGGAAAACCCCCTAGTTAAACAACAAGATGACTGAGTCAAACCTGGGTATGTCACCTTAGGACGCTGCAGCTGTTTGGCTGGACAGATCTGTTAGAGAGGATTTAGGGTTGCTATGTATTCATGAGTAATGCTCTAGGGAAAATATTGCTGTACGCTGTATGTGTGCTGTATGTATGTGTGTATTTTGGCTTAATGTAGGCTAGACTCAGGTGTTCCATTCCCTCATCTTCCTGGCAAGGCCCTGACTGTGTGCTTCCCTGCTCAGAGCTGGAAGTCTAAACCTCCATGAATAATGTAAGCATACTCTTCCCACCCTTAAAATCTTTCAATTTCCCTGTTTAAGGGCTGCATCAACAGCTAAACCAATGATCATTAAACTTATACTTTGATAACCAATTATATAAACAGAGACATTTGTTACAAGGGGGTTGAGAAAGACAGTTTGTCTTGCTTGTTGCACTTTCCTTCCTGCTTAGTCCCGCTGTTGTCTATGCACAGTATCATCCATCCAGACCCACTTGCTTGGTACCCATCTTTACCCTTTTCCTCTACTGTACTTCCTTCCCTTTTATCTGACCTTAATGTACATCCATGTATCGGACAGTGTCAGTGTCACCGTTGAAGTGGGTATCCCCATCCCCCGATCACAGCGGGAAGTACTGAGCAGATTGCTGCTTGGCACACCAAAATGAGGAGAGGAAGATGACAAACTACCAGCTGGGGCTACATTTTTTTTGTAATGCACACTGGCTGACAAAAAATTAAATATAGTGAAATAAAAACAAAAGCTTGATTGGAAGAGTCTCAGTCAACTGACAGGTCTCATCCCCCGATCACAGCGGGAAGTACTGAGCAGATTGCTGCTTGGCACACCAAAATGAGGAGAGGAAGATGACAAACTACCAGCTGGGGCTACATTTTTTTTGTAATGCACACTGGCTGACAAAAAATTAAATATAGTGAAATAAAAACAAAAGCTTGATTGGAAGAGTCTCAGTCAACTGACAGGTCTCTCAACTAATGACTCGACTATTCAACTATTGGGTGGCAGCCCTAGCCTTCCTGAGCTGTGAAAGTGGAAGTGAATTTTAATGGTGTTGATTCAATTTATGTTGCCTAATTACTTAGTGTTTATGGTAAAAGTGTGCTGTAATCAAAGCGGCAGCCTGCTTGAAAAAAAAAAACACTAAACATATGATCGGCCCTCAGAAGATGTGGGGGAATGTGGAGGTGGAGCTGAGAATCTATCAAGTTGTTTCCAAGAAGGAAGAGTGATTCTGTTTCTTTTTTCCCCAACTGTAAACTGGCTCTAATGAAGGCTGACTGGGCAGAGTTCTCTTTATAACCTATGGAGAGAGCAAGTGTGTGGCTCATTAAAAAAAAAAAAAAACAACTGTCAGTGCTGCCTTGCCATCACTGGCACCTTAAGCTGCAGTCTTCTGTTGGGCCTGTTTATTCAGCCACTGGATCACTGATTCAGTCTTTTCTTCACCTCTTCTTGCACACTTTTTTACTCTTATTCCAAATGCATATCTCTAATATTATCAAACATCTGTACATTTTCTGTCTTTCACCTGGTGAGAGTCAGTTTTTGCATTTGCTCTGCATCAGTGCAAAGCCTTAGAAACCACTCTCCTTTGGTATCTTCTTTCTTGGTATGTTCTCAGCTGTCTGAGGTGGTGCACACTGTCTAGACATGGCATCTACTTCTGTGACGAGAGCATACACTCTCTTATGTGAGCATTGATCTCCAGAGGTTGCAAGTAGTGTCATTGTCTTAGGAGCCTTTGCTGTCAGAGGTTGGGCATGACTGCTTAGTGAAAATGTTATGATTGGCCCCCACCATTCCCAGAATATGTTTTGATTGGCTGCGATACAAGTATCCCTTGTCTCGAGTTGAGACAGAGTGCAGGGTTTGTAGTAAGAGGGAAATACTGCAGTATACACATTCTGATAAAAGCAGAGATTTCATTGTAGTCATCATGATTGGCTGTGCTTGACTTCACATAAACACAGAATCAGTGGGAAATATTACAATAGATCTGTCTTGATTAAAAGTTTCAGAGTATTCTTTCACAGTAGGCTCTGTGACAAGCAACCACACTTGGTTCCTTATAAATACTGCACCCTGGTGGCTATAACAGCAGAGTGTGAGGGACATAGGCTGAAACCCAGTTGCTGTCGAGTCTTCTTATCGGCTAGAAAGCAGCCCCCTCCAATAACCCTCATTAGCTTTAGTGCCAGATCAGATGAACATGGCCTATATTTCAAACATTTGTTCTGACTCCTTGCCCTGACACTGTGGTCTCCTCTGTTGGTGCCTGTGTGGTGGATATTGCCTGGCTGGCCCTGCAGTGCTCTTTCTCCTGCAGAGTGGGTCATCCACTGGCCAAAATTGAATATGATATGTCTGCTTCGAGTAGAAGCCTTGATTTGAAGGGAGGTTTTGATTTTATCTGAATTTTAAAGAGATTCACAGATGTTACAGTACTGCACAGTGTGCAGACATATTCTACACATACTATATGCCTGTGTGCTTAGCCCAATGTGCTTTTTTGAAAGTGATACAGTAACAGAACATCTTGGCCAAACATTTCTTAATAGATTTACAATAGATGTGTCTTTGTCCCCTGAATCACTGTGTTTATGAAGAGTTGAAACAAGGAAAGATGAGAACAATAACATGTTGCTGCTATAACTACTTTGCAAATGTTCTCATTACAGCATTTACCCCACTCAACACTACACCAAGCACTGTAACCTTATTTGTCACTGTATGACATGTGGCTACAGTCACTAATAGGGAGTTTGATAATAGAACACTAATGATTTTGGCCTTCTACTCCACCAACATTATCGTAACTCATTATGGAAACTCATTTTGTCAAGAAGCCTAAGTCATCTTCACAGGGTCATGTGTGGCTTCTGTTTCGGTATGATGAGCTTTATGGTTTATTACCTCTCTGTAAAATGAGAACTAGGGGATATTTTTACAGCACTTTGCCATAGCTCTTTGTGACAAATCCTTTCTTAGAGAATACATGTATTAATATGTTTCAACTTTTGTAACTCAGTTCTTCTTTGTTTTTTCTCTGTTTCTTTAGACCCATTCAGAGGCTGAACGCAATATACTGTTGACAACCAGCGAAGGAGATGCAGAGAAGACCTTGGGAGGCCTCTTAGAATGGTTGAGGCTGGACAGAAGCAGAGCTGCTTTGAACAGCGAGATGATCCATGTTAATCTGCATCCATGCAGCTCCAGGGCACCTTTCAATGATGCCTCATTTGGTCTTCTTGAATTACTTTTGGCCCAGACTGACAAAGGCCCTTTGTTTTGATTTAGAACTCAGTCTGTTGATGTTCCCCTGCCTCTGACCTTTCTGCTGCCATGCGGTTATCGCCATGAGGCTCCAAGAGCCCTTCCTTGTGTGTCTGTGAGGCCTCCTCCCCACTCTATGGAGGCTGAGCCCAGTTGTCCGACTGATGGGGATCGCTCTGGAAGGCAAGAGCAGCAGCATGTGACATCTGAATCCTCACTAGAATCTTGTCCACCTCAGCAGTCACAGCAGCCTCCTAATCCTCGTCCTGTACACAGAGCTGTAGGCCGTCTGCAGAGTCGCCAGCCAAGACGCACTGACCTTCTGCTTCGGTTACAGCAGCAGCAAGCAGTAGCATGGCAGCAATCAGACAACCCAGGTCCCTCAGGAGGCAGCTTCTTCTCTGCAGCTTCCTCATCAACCCTTCCCTCCACTTCCTCCACCCGGGGTGAGCATGGTCACAGGGTCCCGTCTCAGCCCAGCCAAGAGGGCTTAGAAGGGGTCAGCTCAACCAGAAAGGGAGAGAAAAAACCCCCCAAACCAGGGAAATATGTGTGCACTTACTGTGGCCGTCCATGTGCCAAGCCAAGCGTTCTTCAGAAACACATTCGTTCCCATACAGGAGAAAGACCCTTCCCTTGTGACCCCTGTGGCTTTTCTTTCAAGACCAAAAGCAACCTGTATAAGCATCGCAAGTCCCATGCCCATCGCATTAAAGCAGGTCTGGCATCCTGTCGTGATGAGCCCAGTTTGAGTGGGCCTGAGGGCAGTGGCATTGGAGAAGACCCTGAAGAACACACAGAGGGAGAAAGCACTGAGTCTGAAGAAGAGACAGGCCAACACAGAAAATCCTCCTCTAAGGAGATGTTGGGCCTAAAGAGGAAAGGTGCTAAGGAGCTGCTGGGAGGCTCCGAGGAGAGCCAGAGGCCTGAAGATTCCCAGGCTGTCAAGCAAAGGCTTGCACTGAGGCTTAGTGAAAGGAAACGTGGCCCTGTGGCTTCTCCAGATGACCCTCCTTCTTCCCTATCCTCCCTCTCCACCTCTTCTTCTTCTCTAGGCCCTGGCAGCAAAGGCAGCACAGAGTCTGGCTACTACTCTGGATCAGGCAGTACTGACCTGTCTCAGGTTAGCCCTCCCAGTGCTAGTGCCAAAACCTACGCAGAAATTATTCTAGGGAAATATGGAAGGCTGGGAGGGCAACAGCGCAGTCCCCACCAGCAGCAGCCGCATTCTTCACTTTCCTCTGGAACAGAGGAGAAGAGCATTCCCTTCGCTGTACCCAAAACCCAAGTAATAGAACACATTACAAAGCTCATCACTATCAATGAAGCAGTAGTAGACACCAGTGAGATTGACAGTGTAAAGCCCCGACGCTCCTCCCTGTCTAGGAAGAGCAGCACAGAATCACCTAAATTTACCACCCCTAAAGATCCATACACATTTGATCCCAAAGGAGAAGCCCCTGGCTCCAGCAGTTTTAGGCACCTTCACAATCCTGAGGCAGATCCACCAGGTACCCAGGAACTGTCATCAGTACCTCTGCTTAGAAGCTTCTCAATGCCATCATCTACCAGCCAATTAGAGCCCTCTACCTCTGGCAACATATCTCCCAAGGGTTACCGTCTTTGCCAGTCATTTGATGAGCAGCAAGCGGTGGTCGCAGAGATGAGGGATGGCCATGCCCAGCGTATGCTGAGGCGCCAGCCTGCCATAGAGGTTCCCCTGGGAGCCGAGGCAATGCTGGAGGTGGCCAGTCCCTCCACCTCCTCCTCAGCTAGAGCCAGCGAACCAGCCAGGCAGCCACTGCAACAACAACAGCAAAAGAGTCTCAGCCTGTTTGAATGTGTAGCATGTGGGGCTCGCTTCCAACTTAGTGAAGACTATGAGGCCCACAGAGGCATCTGCCCAGTACAACAAACAATGGAAGAACAGAGCAGGGATGCAAGTAAAACATGCAGGGAGGATCGCCCCCAGATGATGATGCACTATAAGTTCCGAGCACTGGCCATGGCTGTGAGGAAGAGGAGGAAAGAGGAGAGCCTGGAGGAGGACCCTCCCAGCCCTGGGTCTGCAGCCATGTCAGAAAGCACTGCAGGGCGCATTCCAGTGGCAAGCAGACCAGAACACAGCCAGGCCATCTCAGGTTTGTTTATGTATCTCTGCAGTAGCTGATAAAATTGTAACATTATCCTGTGTGAACATTAAGTTTGTTTTCTTACAAACCCATTATCCTATGTTAACATCAGAGAAGCCCAAGTAGCTAAGGAAAAGATATACACAATGAGTTGATTTACATCAGTGATATAAAGCAAGAAAAAAAAACACACAAAGGAAAACTACAGTGTGAAATAACACACAAGATAAGGGGAAAAAATGCACAAACAGTTAATCGTCATCATTCAAAAGCAGGTGCCAGTATAATATAATGGTAGTTAATGTGTTTCTGCTGTATGTTTCTAGGTGTTTGTTCACAGACTGAGCCAAAACAACAGCAGCAGGACAGAAAGGGTGTGTCTGTCATCCAACACACAAGCTCTTTTGAGAAGCAAGACAGTGTATCCATGGAAAGTCAGGGACCAGACCTCAGAGAGGGTCAGCAAACACAGCAACCCGAGCCAAAACCATCACCCTCTACATCTCGCCTCATCCGCCAGCCAAACATTCAAGTGCCAGAGATCCTTGTTACTGTGGAACCTGATGCTGACATGCCATCTGTGTCACCACCAGTCACAGCATCCTCATCCAAGGTACATGGTTATTTAAAGGAGTATTTGGCTATATGTTTTTGTTTGTTTTTTACAGTGTTCTTCTGCCTCCCCTCAAAAACAAGCGTGCTAAATCGTTGCTGGCTTTGGGTGATATATTTGTGAAATAAGCATTGATTAAAGGGTATTTTCCTTTTTTATTTAGCATCCTAATAAAAATTTAAGAAGGTGAGTAGTCAATGTCCCCTCTTCTTACAGAGGATGTAACAACTTAGGAAGGTAATAAACTATTTATCTATCCTAGGAGACAGAGAGAGCAGAAGAGTTCCAGTGGCCTCAGCGTAGCCAGACTCTGGCCCAGCTCCCTGCAGAGAAGCTGCCACCAAAGAAGAAGAGACTCCGCCTGGCAGAAGCAGCCCAGTCCTCTGGGGAGTCCAGCTTTGAGTCTGTGTCTCTGCCTCGTAGCCCCAGTCAAGAGAGCAACATCTCCCACACTTCAGGTCTTTCTACTTCTTTTGAGGACACAGCAAGATCAGAGCCTGCCATCTGGGTCGCCAGTAGCCAAAGCTCACAGATGTTGATGGTGCCATCCCCTTCCCATCAACACCACCAAAGCCACAAGGAGATGAGGCGCTCAGCCTCAGAGCAGGCCCCAGCCAGTGCCCAACAAACAGAGCAGATCTCAGAGACCAGAAGTAAGTCCTTTGACTATGGGTCGCTATCCACTCAGCAGTCTACATCCTCCTGGAAAGAAAGGCGGAAGTGTCTTCTTGTGAAACATGCCACCTTAGGAGAACCAGAACAGGAGGAGGGGACCAGCATGAGTCAGTTTTCCAGAGCAGAGAGCCCAACGCCTGGGCCTTCCCACTCCATCCCTCCCTCTCTCTACACGACCGAATCAAGTTCCCAGGTCAGCCCAGAAGCCACAGGAAAAGCCTTGCAGCTGTTACAACCACAAATCTTCCCACCCTCTCAGGATGTGCTCCCTTTGCAGCACAGAGGCCAGCAAACATTCCCCCCAGTATCATTATCACAGCTACTGCCTGTCACCACAGCCATCTCTGAAGTACTGTCCACTCAGATCGTCCACAGAACCTTCTTACATTCACAGACAGCACCTCCACATATGCAGATACACCCAGCACATTTTCACATGGCAGAACAGCTGGGACTACCGCTCCATCAGCTTCCTGCTCTAGTTCCACTCCAGTTCTCTTCTAGGACTAGAACTAGGCCGGCTCTATACTTGCCTGTTCCTCCAAGAATTGCCACGCATTTTCCCTCCCCTTCCATTACAGAGACCAGACCCTCCACCTCTTACACTTCTTCTGCCCTTACCCATCAGTCCCTTGTTACAGTCTCCTATCAGCATCCACGCCCTGTCATTGCCACATGCCTGGCACAGCTTACACCAGTAGTGTCCCTTGTGGTCCCAGTTCGTCTCCAGACACATATACCTACCTATGCCAGTGCCATGTATACCACCTTGTCCCAGATACTGGTCTCCACCAGCTCACAGGAATCCATTCCTTGCACAGCTATGGTCATCATGGGCCAGGTGGGGCAGGAAAAGCTGCAAAGGTCCTACTTGAAGGTCCCCTCCCCAGAAATCAGGGGCCTTCTTCCCCTGTCTCTGCCTGCAGAACTGGCCTCGGGATCTGGGGAGGGATATGGTCCACTAGGGGCTGGGGGTAGTAAGCGAATGCTTTCTCCTGCAGCCAGTCTGGAACTCAGCACAGAGGCACAGCGTCACCAAAAAAGGGTCAAAGAGGAAGAGGAGGGGGAGCAACATAAGTCAGGAGAAGAGGAGGAGGATGCAGAACAGAAGGCAAGAGAGGAAGAGGAAAGTAGAGCCACTGGGAGAAAACTGGAAGAGGGAGAGAAGAAACAGCCAGAGAGGGTGGCAGTGACAAGTGTGAAAGTGGAGGGGGACCAGGAGCAAGTACCAAGGAAACTTAACAGGGAGGAAAAGGAGGAGAGGAAGAAGGAGTCAACCAAGAAGACTAGTCAAAAAAATGAAGAGGTGCCAGTTGTGGAGGAGGGGGTGGAGAGACCAAGCACCCCTTCATACCCCAGCCTCCACACCTCTACCTCAGTCAACTGGTGCTATCTGAACTATGTCAAACCCAACCCATCTGCCCAGAGGGACCCTCGCACCTCTGTTTATTCTACCTGGAGTGTCAGCGCTCACAACCCCAACTTGCCGGGCCTCAGCACTAAGGTGGTGTTGTCTCTGCTGTGTTCCAAACAAAAGCACAGTTCAGAGACCTACACCATGGCCACAGCCCCAACTCCAGCCGAAAAATTGATTCTTGCCAGTAGCAAGACCCCGTGTGTGTCTGAGGTAAATATAACCACAGTATACACTTCCTGAATTTATGTATTATGAGTTGATGTAGACCCTTCTGTTAAGGAGTCTCTAAACTTCTCCCTAATAGCTCACTATTATCTTTTTAACAAATCTGTAGGCTTTACATATAACTCCACCAGTTTCATCCATCAAAGTCCATTCACAGGTCTTGAGTAGTATTGAATGTATGAAAATGTTTTATGAAGCCTTATGTGCTCCAGAGGGCACTGCATAGAATCTGATTAATTACCTCAACTGATGTCACTTGAGTCAATGTCAACTGGGGCTACAAGAGTCTGACAACAAGTGTGTGGAGCTAGAGACAAGTGATCTTCCCAGACCACTGAAGCCTGCTCCTCATCTCTGCTCTAGGCTAGCAGCTCGAGGCCTCTTTAGCTATTACTAACATAACAGACCCAACTTGCCAGAGGTCAAGTTGCATTGTGGATCATGTACTGTAAGCACCATGTTTTGACAAGGAGAAGGCATGTGTGTAACAACGTAGACGGTATCTCTTGTTGTGCTCTGTGGTCTTCTTTTTTTTTTTTTTACTGTTCACAGTGAGTCAAGCAATGTTAAACAAGTGCAGTGCTGTAGTACATCAGTGGAATACTCTAAATCAGTTTATTTTAACATTTTATTTTACTGCTTGTATTTTATTTTAAATTGTTTTGAATTCTTCTGCGTCTCTTGAGTGTAGGTACATGCCACCCCACCCAGCACCCTCACTGAAGTAAAGGATCAGCAGCAGCCTGAAAAGGAAGAGAATAAAGAGATGAGAGAAAAAGGGCCCTCCACCTCCAAGCTGAGCGAGACTCGTGTTCGCATTTTTGAAGGGGGGTAAGAACTACAAGAGTGAAGCCATATTCACATTATTGCAATAAAGCAGCTGCTGCATGCACTATTGTTGTGTAAGCGGTGCACTGTGGAGACTCTGTGCGGACGTCTGTGGTGCGCAGTGTAGTGCAGGGTGCATCAAAAGTTCAAATTTGTTGGCTCTAGTTAGGCTGACCTCTGTGGGCACAACCAATCACTGCTGACCACTGCTTGAACTAACAAAAGTCTGTTTAGCCTGCTTGTGTTTCTCAATTTCCCAAACTGTACAATGACGTATTATCCTCATATCTAGACCAGACAAAGACAGATAGCCTAGCTAACTGGCAAAATATTAGCAGCCAGGTGCAGCTACCAAGACTGGTAAAAACACTGAGCCTTTAAAATGTAGCAGTCTACTGCTAGCGATGCCACTTTGTAGAGCAGCCCCGGGAGTTCAGACTGCACCAACTGTCATAGAACGTGCAGCACAAAGTGAATATGCCATGATACTGTTAAAATGTTCATGTTTAAATTCAAAATTCATTATTTCCTAATAATGGCAGTGCCTCATTTCACAAGTAATCTGTTTTTGTGTCACAAACCAACGCTTGATGACAGCAAAACAGCAACTATGAGAGCTGACAGGAGTGCTCAGAGAAGTACAGGAGCAGATGGGGAGATGGTGCAGCCCACAGGGACTTTGTACCTGTAGCCAAGCTTTTTCCTTTTACTGCTGGCGAGGATGTCTGTGTTTTAGAAGTGTTAATTTGAAGAGAGAGCAGTGTGTGTGTGTGTGTGTGTGTGTGTGTGTGTGTGTATGTGTAAAAGGTTGTCTCCAGCTCCACTTTGTGAGACTCATTAATGCTTGCTGTTACAGTTATATAAGTTATAGAGAGTACACAGATGCACAGTATGAAGCAAGTGGTCATAGTCCGGATTGTCGTGCTGGTATGCAATGTGTGCATGTGTTTGTCTTCAAACCTGTACGGTGCATTCATATAATATGTGTGCTTTTCATAAATGTGATGTTTTCCGATGAAGCCTGCCGACTTTCCAAGGTTTACTGTGTTTAGCGCTGAAAGTTTCCCCCGGCAGCTGATTCTATATAAACCTGTTCACACTGAGTCAATGGTATGAATAGATGAGAATAAAATGGAGAGGAAGGAACGGTGACAGCAAGGTGGGGATAAGAAACATCTTTCATTGAACTAATGAGACTTTTAGAACACATTGGGTTTCCTTTTGATGGACATGAAAAATATTTCAGAATGTTATTACAGAGGCGATATTACAGATTTTTAGAGAGCACTGTTGCTTGTTTGAGCCCTGTGATAGACTGGCGACCTGTCCAGGGTGTACCCCGCCTCTCGTCCAATGTCAGATGGGATTGGCTCCAGCCCCCCCTGGGTGACCCTCATCAGGATAAGTGGTATAGATAATGGTTGGATGGATGTTGCTTGTTTGTGTGTGTGTATTCATGTGTCAACACTTGCACATTATGGCCTGTGTCTTGTGTTTATGTGCACACAGATTGAGTGTGAAGGAGTGGTCTGCTTAGCAGTAGATAAGGCACTAATTACCCGTCTTTATCAATTGCAGCCACACATTACAAACATTCAGGAAGTGCATTTTCCTCCATAAACAGCCTGCAGTTCTCTCCCTCCCTCCCCTCATCTGTCTCCATCATATCACTCATCTTCCTCTATTCATGCTGCCTGTTTCACTCTGGCAGCTCTTCCAAATTTACTTACCCATGGATTATTTTCTTTTCATTCCTTCTCAGCATCCCCTGTCTCCTCTGTGCACCCCCTCATGCCCTGCAGTTTTTTTCTCCATGCATGCGGACAAGCACAGCTACTCACTCTTTAACACTACTGAATGTTTTGTACCCTGACTTTGTTAAGACTCATCATCTCCAACCCTTTTGTCAGCACTTGCCACTAAGTTTGTTCTGGAGAGCAAACAACACTTTTTTTAAATGAACATACATTATGCAACTTTATGTTTCAGTGACCTGTATGAGTTCATCCTGATCCAATTTCCGACATTCCTTTAAGAGAGAGGAGTGTAGAGATCTCTAGAGTTTATCACTGTCACAGCTAAAGCAACAGACATGGGATCAAGGCAGCTTTTTCTTAATAATAGCAATCAAACAAGCAGAGCTTAGCTCCATCTTGGTGGCAACAAAACTCTTTGGAACATTGGCTTTAATCCATCTTAGTGAGCACAAGCTGAACTGTCTCCTGGGTTCTGTTAAAATGTACATATTGCTTTCCATGTTAGAAGTGATTAATATTGCAGATTTGGGCATTGTCGTTCCTGTGAGCAGACTTTGCAGTATGTGTCAGGACAATTAGTTGTGTAAAACTCCAAACTGTAACTGATGTATGATTCATCAGCAGGAGTATTGTTGTTTACCATTATACTGCTGTTGCTGCTTTGAAAGTCATTGGCCTTATCAATCAATAGCACTCTGATCGGAAGTGGCATTCTCCCCACCAGTCTGCCATGGTGGCCGTAGAGCTGCAGTACAAGCAGGCACAGATTGTCCTTTGAGTTTATCAAGAGATATGCTGCTGATTAAATGCTCTAATGTGAGAAGTGCAGTTTTTGCCTTGTTTTCCCTGAGATGTGGGTGGATATTTTTAGCTGTGGCAAAAATACATGCCAGTAAACAGTGGCCAGCTCCTGACAGAAGACAACATAAATCTACCGTTGAGGCTGTTTTACAGTTCACAGTTATGAGACAATTTATTATCTCCTGTTGTTGCTTCTGCTATATAGCAGTTCTTGTAGATGCAGTGCACATTCTGTAATTAAACACACAGCAAACATTGGATATTTACAGTTCAGGATGGATTGTACACCTCTCTATGAGTAGTGAGAGCAGTTTTCATAGAGGACAGTTCATTCAAATATAAAACATCTGTGGTCCACAGTGTCCACAAATAGCCTTTTGGGTAAACATCAAGACTGTGTAAAAACAATGTTTTTATAGACTAGACCTAAAAGTGTTGCTCGATTTTTAAATATAGTGTCTATTTTAGGGTGTTGGCCACAGCTAGGCTTCCCTTCCCCTCTCTTTAGCTGCTGCTGTTGTTGGCAGAGCCGCCTGATCGCTGCAGAACAGCTAGTACTCTCTGTGTGCCCAGGTTGCAGTGGAGGGAACGGCCCAGGGACTCGGTGCTGCTGGGTTTCGTAGGGCTTCCCCAACCCGCTTTAATAAAAAGAGCTTTGTTTCCTGGATTCTCTTGTATGCTACACACAAACCCACATTCACATTCCTCATTATTAAAGCTACACCATTCAATATTTTTTATTAGAACAAGTTAACATGAAAGAGGTCTCTTGTAGCAACAAAGCCAGAGAAAATTTGCACCAAACTGAGTGTTTTAGTGTCTTTTAGCTCATTGCTTAGGGTTTTTCAGCCTGCATATTCCACAGTCATCAATTTTGTTACCAGCAGCTTCATTGTTGTTTTCAGGGAAAACATTCTCTAAAACCACTGTATGCAACCTGCCCAGCAACAAACACCAGACAGTCCAACAGTAACTTACTGGTGAACATAGAGGAGCGTTTAAAGAGACAGATATTTTTCCAAGGACTTGGTGGAGACCAAGATAAAGCTGAAATGTTAACAAATTTAGAAAGGCAGAATATGTCTGTTGTCTCTTCCGCTTGTTCTGTTTCCCTCCACTGGGCAAAATGCACTTCATTTTATAGTAATTAAGCTGAATGTGAAGAAGAAGAAATAGAAGAAGCTAATTATTTGTGCATTCAGCTACTGAGTTTGATCATTCATTTAAATCAGTGATCATTATTAAAGGGATCCTATTTTGTGATGTGTGGCAACCAGATCCTCATCATTCTGTTTCTTTCTTCGCTCCCTTAGGTATAAGTCCAATGAAGAGTATGTTTATGTGCGAGGTCGTGGCAGGGGAAAGTACATATGTGGAGAATGTGGCATCCGCTGTAAGAAGCCCAGCATGCTAAAAAAGCACATCCGAACACACACTGATGTCCGTCCGTACGTTTGCAAACACTGCAACTTTGCCTTCAAAACCAAAGGCAAGGTTACAATTCACAAGTCACTTAAAATATGATTTGTATTGCTAATTTGTCATTATTACTTTAGTCAGTGATCACCTTTGTTTGTTCAAAGATCCTCGTTTCCCGTTTCCATGTGTGAATTGAGGGTAATTTTAATGTGCTATTTTTGGGTCCTTCCTAGGAAACCTTACTAAACACATGAAGTCAAAAGCTCATGGGAAAAAATGCCAGGCTATGGGAGTATCTGAGTCATCGCTGGATGAGCCAGAGAGTGAGGAAACAGGTACTTAAGAGGGAATGGGGAGGAATTTCAGGCATTGTATTTCCCCTCCACTGCAGAGAAATATTGGTATACAGCTGGATGAAGTTATGCCTGTGAAGAATGGTAGGTGCTCAGCACTGACATCTTATGCAACCATGTTCTTTTCTCCTCCCTGTAGGGGAGAATAGAACATGCCTAAGAAATATGAAACTGTATAAGATAAATAAATGAAGAATAGGGAGCGTGCCACAGTCTCCTGATGTAGCTGCAGCGGTCTGGCAGGTATACCTTGATATCAAGGATGTGTTGCTGTTGGCATATCAAAGTCAAAGCCACAAATGAGCCTCAAAGCCAGCCACCTCACAACTGCCTCTACTGTGCCTCCCCTCACCATCTCTTTCTTGCTGACAGGCTGCACTCATCATAGTCAAGGGTACGCCATTTAAGCTGTCTTTCCATTCACAAGGCTGTTGAGATAGTTTGTGAATAGAGGCATGGTGCTATTCAATTAAATTCCGGCCTTTTCATCCTCAGCCTATTTATAACATGGGTTTGATAGGTGGAGGGTGAGGTTTGTCAGATAGATACGATCCTAATCCTTTGTGCTTGTTCCTATACATTGTTCTGTTAATGTGTTTTCTTGTCTCTTAATGTGGGGACTTTTGGCACAGCTTTGTACATTCAGAACAGCAGTTTGAGAGTTTATAATGTGGATGTAAACAGATGTAACTTGTGTTTTTTGTTTCTGCAAAAATAGCCGGAAGTGATGAACGTGTGTGTGGCTCAGAGGAACGAGAGGAGCATCAGTTTTCTGATGTGGAAGAATCTGAGGACGATGACGACAATGATGATGATGAGGAGGAGGAAGAAGAATCTGCATCCCATTATGACCCACCCTCATCTTGTTCATCGGACACCCACCCATCAACAGGAGGACGTTCCAGCTGCAGTAGGCACTCTCAACAAGGCGCCCCTGACCCTGAGCCCCCAGGTACCAGTCTCAGCCCTGGACAGGAGCGCTCTCTGAGAGGAGTTTGGCCCAGCGGGCGAGCTGCCTCGCCAAGCAGCAGGAGGGCGCTGTTCTCCCGGCGAGGCTGGAAGGCATCACCAAGAGCTTTCTCCCCCAGCAGTGAGAGCTGCTCCCCCAGCCGTAGCCTCTCCCCCCGTCTGGAGCTGTCCTCATCCATCCAAAGCCTTTCCCCCCGGACCGAGCTCTCCTCACCCGGTCGACATGTCTCACCCTCTCCTGAAAGAGGACCATCTCCTATTAGACCGCTATCTCCTCTTCGCCCCATTTCACCTAGCTGCTACCGGTCATCACAGTCTCGGACCCCTCCCTCCCCACTCAGGTTACAGCACAGGACTGCTGGATACCTGCCTTGGGAGAGCCCCGGTAAAATGGGTAGTCGTGTCAAACTGGTGAGTTTTATTATAGATCTGTGTCTGGACATTTTAACTGAGAAAGAGCTACCTACCACAGTGGTTTTTCTCTTCACTCCTTCTTTGTCAGAGTGCAGTACCTTTTGTCCTGGCAGAATAAGGCCATAAAAATGTAATGATGATGTCTTTGCCCCCTCTACAGGAGAAAGGTGGTACAGTGAGTGAAGGGCCAACATGGCAAGAAGCAAGCTTATTTCCATCTGCTTTTCGCTTTTCTACCTGTGAGGGTTATCCCAGCCACCAAACAACAGACAACCTTTTCAGCCACCTTCCCCTGCACTCACAACAAGCCAAGGTTCCCTATCTGATGATCCCTATTGGTGGAATCCAAATGGTACAGGCCAGACCGAGGTCCCACCCTACCACCCCCTCGTCCCCAACATCTCCCTCTATGGAAGGGCCGTCATTGGCCAAGTTTGAATCATACTGGGGCGGGACCCCCAGATCTCAAGGGCTTAGGACTCCTGGAGACCACTGGTCAGAGCACCAGGCAGCAGGAACCAGCCAGTCAGGGCAGTGCGGTCTTAACACAGCACTAACATATTCCAAACCAGAGTTGGAGACCACAAACTCAAAGCAATATGGCAGCTCACATAGCTTCGCTCACACCCACAGTTCTGCTTCTGAGGTCACAGAACACTGCATCAGAGACAGTCTTTCAAGCGCACCCCTCAGTCTAGCAGCCCCCGTAGCCTCTCGTGTCACTGGACAGGGCAGAGGAGCCACCATCTGGTAGTGATCTGGTGGAGGGAGAAGCTAAAGAAGACTCAGCCAGAGCAGAGCAGAGCACTTAACAGTGTCTACACCTTGATGCATCAAGTGTCCCACTCTGCTTTATTGGTTGCTACACTAGTCTTGTTTTTTTATTGCCTTGTTTTTTTGTTTTTGTTTTGTTTTTTACAGTTTTCAATACTATCGTTAACTTAAGGTTTTGTTCTTTGGCAATATTCAGGTTTGTTATAAAATGCACTTTTTTCTTTGTGAAAATGTTTCTGTAAATATTTATATAAATTACATATATTGTAAAAGAAATATGAATAAATTTGTAAATGACCAAAATCTTTAATCAAAAATTATCCCATTTTTGTTTGTCCACATTTTGTCCAGTATTACTTAAACTCTAGTTACTTGTGCCTTTTCTGTCCAGGTTTGCGTTTCGAGGTGTATAGTACAGATAGACTGAAGAGAAGGCTGTGAAATTTTATATCCACTTTTTTTGTGTTGTTCAGGAGGGTTAATATTTGGTGGTTTGATTGTTTCTGGTCTAAAGGCCGTTGCTTTAATGCCATCATAGAGATACTGAAGGAGCAGCAGAAAAAAAAAATGCACTGATGTTTTATTTTTTATTACAACAG